CCAATAACACGCATTCATAAGCTCTCGCACTGATACACCAATCTAGAACACCAATAATTAAATTTACACACCAATACTTAAATTTACACACCAATACTTAAATTTACACACCAATACCTAAATTTACACACCAATACCTATATGTACACACCAATACCTAAATGTACACACCAATACCTAAATTTACACACCAACACCTAAATGTACACACCAATACCTAAATGTACACACCAATACCTAAATGTACACACCAATACCTAAATGTACACACCAATACCTAAATTTACACACCAATTCCTAAATTTACACACCAATACTTAAATTTATACACCAATACTTAAATTTACACACCAATACTTAAATTTATACACCAATACCTAAATTTACACACCAATACCTAAATGTACACACCAATACCTAAATGTACACACCAATACATAAATGTACACACCAATACGTAAACATACAAAGCAATACACACACGCACACACATACAAATAGACACACACGCATATACACTCATTTGTTTCTTTTATTTCATCCATCAACATTGTTTGTATGACTCGCGGCGCTTAATATTACATTTACTGATTAATGTTATTATATATTTATGTTAATGTTTTTTATGTTAATGTTATTAATGTTAATGTATTATTGTTAGTGATTTTTCTATTAATTCTATAGTTATTTAATATTAATGTTTATATATATATATATATATATATATAAACATCGTCCTCATCGTCCTCATCATTGGCTAGAATCAACTGATTTTAATTTTAAACCAATCCTATATAGCTGATTTTGGTTCTTATTTAAATCAGTATTCACTAAATTTTTAAGATTTTAAATACTGAAAATAATTGTAATGAAGTTAATAATAATAAAAGTGATAATAAAAATGCTGTAATAATACTTAATCAACGATCACCTCGACAACTGTGTTGTTGTGCCTGGATATTTTGTTTTGCTGCAAAAGATCATAAATAGTTTGGTTTATTATTTTCACTGTTTGCCTGTGAAGCATTATGTCTAAAGATACACGTTCGACTACTAAAGGCATCAAAAATGGTGTTAATAGTGTTACATGCTGTTTTTGTGATTATGTTCCGCCTGCAGAAAGTGTACCTAAAGACATTCTGCCTGCCATGAACAACTGTAGAAATCTCAGATACATTTGCGATGGTTGCCTCAGGTCTTTCGATGGTTTGAAAACATTGACCAAACCAATTCTGGATAAAAATGATGAAATAGAATTGGAAATTAAAAAGATTTCTGAACATACAACCGCGTTATGTAAAGATTTTTGCGAACTAAAGCAATTGGTAGTAGCAAATGGTGATAGGTTGAACCAGATCAACAGCGTCGACAATACGCTCGATAAATCCTTTGACAATTTCAAGCAGCAGATGAATGAATCTTGGACTGGTATAGTCAAACAGGGTATCGATGCGGTTAAAAATGACGTTAAGGTTGTGCAGCGTACCCTCGAAGTGGTGAATACTATCAAAGAGAGAGAAAACAACGTCATTATTTTCAACTTAATTGAATCTAATAGAAAGGACAATGATTCAGTTTCTGCTATTTTGCGCTCTCTCACTGATAACTCTATCAAGGATGATGATATTTTAAGAGTCACCAGACAAGGGAGGAAAATTGATGATTCCAAAACTCCACGTCCAGTTATTGTTAAATTCGCCAGTTTTGTCATCAAAAACAGAGTCATGCGTAGTATTTCGAAAATTAAGTCTCTCGAGGGTGAATTCAACAAAATCAAAATCAGTCATGATCTAACACGTGATCAGCGCGTTGAGCTGCGAGAATTGATTGCCGAAGCTAAAACTAAAGAAGCTAATGATGGCCATTTTTAATACAGAGTGAGGGGCCAAGTGGGACGCTGGAAAGTAGTAAAGCTTCAAAAAACTGCAGTTATCTAGTATTAAATTTTGGTCTTCTTAATATAAGGTCTGTTATAGCAAAGTTTAATGTTGTTTATCAATTGTTATCTAGTGGATTGGACATTTTCCTTTTGTGTGAAACGTGGCATGGTTCTCCTGAAGATCCTTCTATTCAGTTGGCCATGCCGCCAGGTTTTAGTTTCTTGCATGTGTTGAGGCCTCATGATCCTTACCATGGTGGTCTTATTGTTTTTTTCAAGAAGATGTTCAAGGCCAGGAAAATTGAAGTTCCGGTTTTTCAGACCTTCGAGGCTATTATAGTTGAATTTTTTTTTGAGCGTCGCAAAGTTTTTGTTTTTGGTATTTACAGACCAGGTTCAAAATTGGTCACATCATTGTTTTTTGGTGAGCTGACATCGGTATTAGAACATTTATTTGCATTGGGTGATGGTTTGATAGTGGCTGGGGATTTTAACATTCATATTGAAAGGCCTGGTGATACACACTCAATTAATCTGCTTGAAATATTTGATTCGTTTCAGTTAACAAACGTGGTTAATGAGCCTACCCATAACTTGGGTGGCACACTTAATTTAGTTGCGTCCACTCCTGATATTCCTTTGTCTAATTGTAGAGTGGATCCCAGTGGTGGCAAACATTTGGACTATCGGGAGTCGTTCACAAGTGGTTCGTGTCGTACCTTGCTGGTCGTACTCAACAAATTTTATTCAAAACAAATTTGGCAGCTGTCGATGCTTTGTCATACGGTGTACCACAGGGTTCCGTCTTAGGTCCCATTCTCTTTTTGCTTTATACAGCAGATGTCTACACAATAATTGAGTCGTACAATTTCAGGTTTCATGCATTTGCTGACGACATCCAAATAATAGCCAACTCCTCTCCCTCGTCGTTTGGTGATGTGGTCGATGATTTAGTATCGTGTTTATCAGCCATTGATGTTTGGATGATGGGGCACACATTAAAGTTGAACCAATGCAAGACCCAGTTTTTGCCTGTGGGTACATGGCAACAAGTGAATGGAGTGGGTATCAACACTATCAGAATAAAGGAATCTGTCATAGAATTTTGTGCGTCAGCACGAAATCTTGGATTTATTTTTGATACAAACATGACAATGCAATTGCACATAAAGTTGTTGTTGAAAGAATGTACTCACTTGTAGATCGATTATTGCAACAGTTTATTCTACGGTTTACCCAAAAAGTATGTTGCACAGTTACAATTAATTCAAAATCGGGCTGCCAAGTTGTTAACTGGAGGTTCATATTTTGATCATGTTACCCTATTCTCTTCAATCTTCATTGGTTGCCCGTTCAACAAAGAATTGTCTTCAAAATTGCCCTACTGGTGTATAAAAGCATTAATGAATTAGCGCCGAAATATTTAATGGATCGAATTGTTCCAAGAAATGCACCGTTACAGTGTCAGAAGTTACGGTCAAACGATTTAGATTTGTTAACAATTCGACAAACTCAGCTTGCTGTTGGTTGCAGAGATTTCGCTGTTATGGGACCGAAGATTTGGAACAGTTTGCCGGTTGACTTGCGAAATCGTGGGTTGTCAAGCTAAAGAACCATCTTTTCAGACAAACTTTTCATGATATGATTTGATTGAAGTGAAACATTTAATCAACTTTTGCATTAGCGCATTTAATCAACTTTTACATTGTTAGCGCCTTTGAGAACAATAAAGGGCGCTTTATATATAAATAATCTAATAATAATAATAATAATAATATATATATATATATATATATATATACATACAAAATATATATATCTTATCATTAATGTTATGTTAATGTCATATTATGTTAATGTTAGTGTCATTTTTATTGGTAGTCATAATTCCTAACAAAATATTGTTGTTAACATAAATTCTAATGTAATTAATTAATCTATATTAATAATGTGACGTCATAGCATGTCTATTGTATTTGATTTTACGCCGCTACTCGCTCTATTCGCTTCAATTCACAACTCTCATCTAACAACAGTCACCAGGACAATGCTTCTTATTATTATTATTGTTGTTGTTGTTGTTGCTGTTGTTTTTGTTGTTGCTGTTGTTGTTGCTGTTGTTTTTGTTGTTGTTGTTGCTGTTGTTGTTGCTGTTGTTTTTGTTGTTTCTGTTGTTGTTGTTGTTGCTGTTGTTTTTGTTGTTGTTGTTGTTGTTGCTGTTGTTGTTGTTGTTGTTGTTGCTGTTGTTGTTGCTGTTGTTGTTGCTGTTGTTGTTGTTGCTGTTGTTGTTGCTGTTGTTTCTGTTGTTTCTGTTGTTGTTGCTATTGTTGCTGTAGTTATTGTTGTTGTTGCTGCTGTTGTTTTTGTTGTTGTTGCTGTTGTTGTTGATTTTGTTGGTGTTGTGTTTGTTGTTGGCTTGATCGTTTTACGGAAAATACAGAATTCTTATTTATGCATTGTTGTTTCGTTACAAAGTTATTTTTTATCGGAAATTTTCCAAGCAGATGGCTGATGGTAAAAGTGGAAGCTCGTGAATTTTCGCTAACCTACATATCGTGGCCTTCTAATTATCGACAGCCAAACCCTGACTCTGGCAGGAGTGCTACGTTCTAAAATTACCCATTTGGCAATGACTCAGTCAATTTTTTTCTACATTCTGATGTGGAAACGAACATCGAGAGATTGCTGTCGTAAAAAAGATATATAAAAAATGAATGAATGAGTGGATGGGATGGATGGATGGATGGATGGATGGATGGATGGATGGATGGATGGATGGATGGATGGATGGATAGATGGATGGATGGATGGACGGACGGACGGATGGATGAATAAATTCAATCAATCCTTCATTCATCCTTAACCCACTTTTATATTTTCTCTCATTTATTCTTTCGATCATTCGTTCGTTATTCATTTATTAATCCATCAATTCATCCGTCCATCCATCCATTCATCCATCCGTCCGGCTATCCATTCAACGATACTTGCAAATTTTCCAATTAACACTACACATTGCCAGAGTAGGTAAACACTGCAATTTGTGTGTGTAGGTTTGTGTATATGTATATGTATGTGTGTGTTTGTATGTGTGTGTGTGTGGGTGTGTGTGTGTACGTATGTGTGTACGTGTGTGTACGTATGTGTGTATATATGTATACGTACGTATGTATTATGTGTGTAGGCATTTAATAGGTTTGCACAAAAAACAATACGAAACCGTATTAAATCCCATGGGGAAACATCGTCAAATGGCATTTATATTTGGCCAGCCGCCTGCTCTGCAATTAATAAATAGTAACTGTAATGATGAATGATGATGGTTAACGTGCACAAATATTTGCCTCTGCAAAAATTCGCTTCCGCAAAAATAAGCCCTTCCAAAAGTTTACCAATCAAAAATTGGGCCCCATTTAAAATGTGGCCCAACAAAAAATGGTTCCTTAAAAAGTGGGCCTTTCACAATTTGGCCTCCCCAAAAATTTGGTCTCACAGAAATTTGGTCTTCATAAAATTTTGATTCTTAAAAATTTTGCCTCTGCAAAAATTTTGTTCCCTGCAAAAAATGTGGCCCTTCAAGTATTTGGCAATTTTAATTAATTGTAGGGGGAAAAAAAGGTAGACATCATGAGAGATTGCTTGCTTTTGTACAAGAATGAATGAATGAATGAATGAATGAATGAATGAATGAATGAATGAATGAATGAATGAATGAATAAACGAAGGAATGAATGAATGAATGAATGAACGAATGAACAGACGAACGAATGAATGAATGAATGAATGAATGAGTGAGTGAGTGGATTCGATAGGAAGATGAATAGAGGAGGAGTAAGTAACAAGCATCTATTTGATGGATTCGAAACTGCAGATAAAAATTAATTTTTTTCCAATTTTAGCACCGCTGAAGTTTTTATTTAATATTAGACATCTGTATTTTTATTATTATTATCTTTATTATTATGTTATATCTAAATTATTTTTATTCTAATGATTATTATTATCTATTATTCACAGTGGAAGTAGTAGTAGTAGTAGCAGCAGCAGTAGCAGTAGTAGTTGCAGCAGTAGTAGTTGCAGCAGTAGTAGTAGCAATACTA